ATATGTCAATTAACATGTCAGATAAAATACAGTTTATCCAATGATTCATGGGTTTATAGGATTGCAGACAAACGCTCAGTATAAAAAATGATGTCTTTCGCATTTCTAATGTTTTTGTGGTGTAAAAAGCACATCAACTTCAAGCAACACAACAAGTTTAAGTAAGATTAATGTAAAATGAGCTTCGAAAAAGAAACACGCTATTCTTATTTTTATTTAGCCAAATGTCTAAATCTAAAACTAAACAGATTACTGACATAGTTAATTCAAGTTTGATATCGGAAACAAAACATCGAAGAGATAATTTACAAATACAGACACATCAGTAATTATCGAACACTCAACCGGATCTAGCATATAGTACATGCAATGGTTGCGGCTCATACAAAAGATCATGTGATGCATGTAATGGTAGTGGTTTTGTTGCTGATAGTTCTGCGAGATGTCAATTCTGTCATGGTCGTAAAACTTCTTTAGAAATTTGTATCGACTGTACATAAAAAAGTTAAATATCAAAGATAATACTATTTCTATCGTTGACGATTAAAACAATACTTTTTAGTGAATTAACAAGTGCTCTGTTGACCGAAGAATGTAGTTAAATAAACTGTCTTTATGTACGTTAGTTAGCGAGAAAAAAATGACAAAACCTTATGGGCGTTGCTATGAAAACGCCACAGACCATGACAGCTACTATTAATTGATGTCATATATATAAAATTTATACTTGAGGATGTGAATGTGAGTGTTATCTTTATTATACACCTACACCCTCAAGATCAGTCTCTTCTTGTTTTTCATTTATTAACTCCATTTGATTCTCAGACATCTGAACTTAGTGAAAATTGCGTATGTGCTGATTAGAATAGTTATATATCGAAAACGAAGACATGACACGCATGGGTAAAACATTTTATTCGACCGTCATAGATTTTCTTCAAACATGAACTGAAGAGAAGCGGTCATATGGTTGTCGTCCAGATTTGATATAAAAAACATGACTATAATCCTCCCCTTTCTACAGAAAGTATCAGCATTGATATCGAAGATAAACAGGAGAAAATTATCTCGATATTCTTAGTTGTGAGTTCTGTCAAATAACTCTGATTATTTCTTTTTATGTCGACATTAATGGATAAAATATTAAAAGAGAATGGAATTTTCATAGATTGGAGAACGGAAATTATTTTTGTATTTTTTGGAGAACGGTATTGAAAAGTGAACGGTTTTTAGTCTAGTTTAAAAAGCATTTAAAAGAGAACGGTAGACTGTTTATGTTTGAAAGATTTAGAACATAAATATGAAGAGAGGACGGATTGTTCAAACTTTCAGTGTCACAATGGATAGCTTTTTAACAACAAAATCATTTCGACACATTTCAAAATTTTCAAGGTTGGTATCAGTCGGTTCATATAGTGTCAATACAGCAATCATATTGTACGTGCAAATACTTTTGTAAGGAATATATTTGCAAACATATTCTTGGGATTAAGATATTGTATGGCATACACACAATTGCTAAGGATTGTACGCTGATCGGCAAAAAGCCAAGAGGAAGACCAAAAACGACAAGTCTGGCTCTCTTGTTTTAATATATCCTTTGGATCAATATTGGTTCTATTACAAAAATAAGATGAAGACGTTTTACTGTACATATATAAGAGAATCTTTTATGTTCATCTCTATTAGAAGTCAATAAAGTAAATTTAAAAGTAGATTTACCTTCCATTCTCTCTTTTTAATTACATGACTGTTCGTTCTCTTTTCAGTCGTTTTTGCAAGGGGGAAAAAGCATACTTCTGTACTTCTGGTACTTCTCCGTACTTCTTGATACTTCTTCGTACTTTTTTGTACTTCTCCGTACTTCCGAAGTACGAAGTACGAAATACGGGATTTCGTATTTCGTACTTCGTACTTCAGAAGTACGGAGAAGTACGAAGAAGTACGAAGAAGTATCAAGAAGTACGGAGAAGTACCAGAAGTACAGAAGTATGCTTTTTCCCCCTTGCGTTTTTGGCTAAAATTAAAACCTGTTCTCTTTTCTCACTTTTTATTTCCTTTCTCGTTTAATTTCGAATTTTAGTCTAAATATTCAACCGTTCTCCGTTATATACAAATTCTGTTCTCTTTTAAATACCTGTCCGACATTAATACGACTCTGCATCTTATCTCTGAAGTTCATTTATTGAATATTTATCTTAAACATATGTATTTGATCAAAAAAATTGAAAAGAAATTTTTTTTCTTATTGAATAGTCAATTTAACCAATATTCAATTTAATTATTCATTTCAACTTGAGTACGTCTTGGTTGTCACAAGATATTATCCAAATATGACAGGACATTTTTCCATTTTCATATCTGGACAAAACAATGTCACTGGTTGATAATAATAATTTGGTTTTAGATAATCGCGGCAATATTTTGGACTATCAATAGTCAGTTCAAATGAATAATTAAATTGAATATTGGTTTTCGAGCTTATTATAGTTTTCGAGCTTTTACAACATATTCTGAAGTGACGATATCCTTGAAAACGATAGCTCGGATCAGGATTCTGAAACAGAAGAATTTCTCAATTTTTCAACTTTAAGCGAGACACCATACATGAGATTCTCAGGATGCTTTTTCGTTGAAAAAAAATAAACAAGAGAGAAAATATCGCCATTCTTACAGAAAAAGCATTTGAAGAATAGTTCTTTGATACAAATTATTTGTGACATAATTCATTTTCAGTTCAAGCAGAAACTCGATGATCTAATGTGAAATTTTGACGGAGAAAGATGAAATTTTCGGCTCGGCCGAACTTTGTCAAAATTTCATCGTTCCCAGTCAAACCAACATCGTCAAAATTTCACATTAGATCATCGAGTTTCTGCTTGAACTGAAAATGAATAATGTCACAAATAATTTGTATGAAAGAACTATTCTGCAAATAATTTTTTGTGAGAATAGCGATATTTTCTCTCTTGTTTATTTCTTTTTAACGAAAAAAGCATCCTGAGAATCTCATGTATGACCAAAATGAGTTTTTTTTGCAGCAATTTTAGAACTCAAATTTGGTCCAAACAGGATCGGTTCAGCTGGAATAAGAACTTGAATAGTATCAAAAGTAGATGTGCGATAACGGTAAAAACGTGTTACCGTTACCGACGCTTCGGTAGCAATATCAGAATTTTACCGCGATAATTTCAAACCGGTAAAGTCTCAAAATTTTACCGCGTGTGTGATTATCTTACCGTTACCGACGATAAATTACCGAAGCTTGTGTGATTAATGTTTTTATCAAAAGTCAAAATGGAAGTTCGGTAAAAAACGTTTTTTACCGTTACCGCTCATCCCTTTGATTCAAAAGGTCTATTTTCATTGTAGCAGCTTAAATAGAGCAGTGCTATTCGACAAAATTAGGTTGCGATCAAAGCGCTGACAAATAGAACTGAAAGAGCACCTTAATTGTTCAATCGAAATACAAATAATTGTTTGCGTATAACTTAGAAAATTTCCAACCAAAAAACAAACAAAGTAAAAATTAGTGGAAATTGCGTCATCAGACAAAGTTTCATTCTTTTCTTTATTATAAAACAATAATCAGAACAAGTTAATGCGATTCATCACTTCTAGTTTGGTACAGAATTCAAGACTTTCTGATTTATCTGTGCTGAAATATTTGACCTTGCAATCATTATGACTTACCCGGGAAGTCTCTTAGATTAACGTTAGGAGTGAAGAAGTTGATGCGCAATTGCGACTTATTGAATATTCAACAAAACATGAGAGACGACATTTTCATTCCATAAACGTTCAAGAGAAAAGTCTGTTTAAGTTGTTCTTTTTCCATTAGATCGATCAGATTGAAAGAGATTGATGAAACAGTTAGTAGAGAACCATTGCAGGATATCGATGGATATTAGCAATGCAAATTGTTCGATTATTAATTCTATTGAGTAATCTTTTTCAAGTTAAGAAGAATTCCTCTTTTTCTAATCTATTCAAAATTGAATCTTTAGACTAAAACTGGAACAAATTAGTATTATTTTTCACGTGCATTATCTTGAATGCTCCCGGAATTTAGTTAAGTTCTGAAGTAGTACTGCTCAAAAAGAGGTCAACAACAATAGTCTCTGATCGATGACCATCAACGAAAAAAAAAAAATTTCGAAAATAAATCTTTTTTTAAAAATAATCTCGACAAGAACATTGTCCATTTGGATAGAAATGATGCGTACGATTGGCATCTCGAACAATTATCAAACATTGACGAATTCGAGCGATCCATTTAATGAATGTATCTACGAAAAGATCATAATGAAAGTTTTTCAAAAGATCGAATGAGAATAACTTACGACAATCGCCACAAACACGAAGATTTTTCATTATTTGGATACGTGCTGGAATTGGCCGTTGAATCAGATTGAAAGCAATGGCCAGTCTTTCACTGTGTCCAGATAATACTGATTCTCCAGTTTCGTCATTCGTCATTGGTCGAGTAATCCAAGATGTATCACACTTGTAGCCATGTTTGATCAGTTCATTTGTCAAACGTTCTAATTCAGCATAGATTTCTTCAGATCGTCGATGCGATCGATCATGAGCTCGAAATTTCTGAGCAAAGAAAAAAAATATTTGTACTTTGATCATTTCCTTCAATTTCTTTTTCACTCACCACTATTTTCCCATCGATCACAGTCCAAGAAAGACCGGCCATTTTTTTCATACCGGATTGATTTATTTTCATTCGAATATCTGATGCTGTAGACCAATGGCCACTTAATGCATAAGTATTAGCAAGAAGAACTGCTGCCGGTGTCACATAATATTGCTGATCATGAAAATGTGCTTGAATATGATCGAAGATTTTCTGTGCCAACGAAGGGTTTCGTTGATTACGTGCAGCCGAAAGTATCGCCACTGAATGAACAAAATCGAGATAATATTTGATTGAATTTTGATCAATGAAAACTTACTATACATCGAATAACAAGGAGAATGTGATTGTTCGAATTCAGAAATTAATTCTTGTGCTTCGTCGACTAAATTCGAACGACTTAACGTGTCGATCTACACGAGAAAAAAAAATGACTCAACAATCAATGAGATGAACAAATAATTATTATTTACCATTGTTGTATAAATGTAATTGTCTGTTCTCTCTTTTCTTGGAATATTCTTAAAGATCCGTCGCGCTTCATCAATCAGACCTGAATGAGAACACGCATTCAATACACACACATTGATTGCGTTGTTAATCATCTCTAGTGGAATTTGATGAAAGAGTTTAACAGCTTCCATGCCCATTCCGTTTAGACCATACACATTAACTACAAGATCAACCATGATTATTAACAATTTGATATTTAAAAAAATAGTATTTACTCATGGCTGAGAATGATATCGCATCTGGTTTCGAAATTGTTTCGAAGACATTTTTAGCTTTGTCCACTGAACTTGCTTTTCCCTAAATTAAATCGAACAAAATTAATTAATTTGTTAAATCATCTCGTAACTCACCCACATATCGATCAATGCATTTTGAATTTGAATATTGATTAAAAACGTTTCTGCCATTTCCGAGATCACTGATTCACATACTGAAAGATCGCTCAGTTCCGATAATGCATTGATTACTAAGACCCAAATGATATCATTGACTTCAATCTTCTTCCTCTTCATTTGTTCAAATAGAGCTAAAGTCTTGTCTGGTTCATTTCTACTATTGTATATTGTCATCATTGATCCGTATGTAATAACGTTTCCATTCAATCGAGCAAACAACTTTTCGGCATTTTCAATATCTGAACATTTGATGAACATGTTAAGTACACCATGAAGAACCTTCTCATTGACATTATTTTCATGAAATTCGGTAGATAATCGAGAAAAGACTTGTTTGCCTAAGTTCAACGCTTTTTCATTTCCCAATTGAGCACAAGCACTGAAAAACACGATCAAATTCACTTCGTCTGGCTTGTCCATTTTGAAGAAGAGATCGATTGCTTCTTGTGGTCGATTATTTTTGATATAACCTTGAAAAACGAAAATAAAACAATTTGGACAAATAAGAAAGAAAAAATTCTCTTACCTGACATCATTACACCATAAGTGGTGATATATTTATTCATTCGTGAAAAAAGTTTTTCACCCATTGAAATTTCTCCATTTTGCATGAGCATATGTAAAGCTGAATTGAGAAGGATTGTATCAGTTTGATATCGGACAGGAATTTTTTCTAATAAATTTTTACCAAATTGAATCGAATCTTGGTCACCAAGTTGCGTACAGATCTTGAAGAGAATGCTGTATGTATATTCATCTGGTGGAACAGTCATTTGTCGAAATAGATCTAGTGCTTGTTCGCCACGATTATTATTGGCTAGACCTAAATGACAGACAAAAAATAATGTATGTTCCAAATCCACAAAAACTGACCATTAAGCAGAGCGTTGTACATAGCAGGTGTCATATTTCGACTTTCGCGAAGAATTTCTTGTGCCTTGGAAAGATCACCGCATTTCACTGAAATGAAAGAAGATTGAGAATATTTTCCAAACATAAAAAAAAAAAATGATTTACTGTACAGACGAATGAGATTCGTTTGAATGAAAGGATTCTTTTTTGATTGCGGAGATAGACTTTGATGAATATCTGATCCTCGTTTCAAATCGGCCAATTCGATACATGCCTTGAGAGCTTGATTGATCGCTGGATTCGTAGGCAATTGATATTGAATGTGAGTTTCGAATAAAGCGATAGCTTTCTGATATTGTTTGTGATCATTCAATTGTTTTATTTGATTCGTGAAATCGACGAATGTCGACATCAAACGACGAGAACAAAATCGTGAAAGAAAGAACATCACATCTGGAAAGAAACAGAGACTAAATAACAAAAGAAGAACTCGAATCAAGTTTGACCTAAGATCTCGATCAAGATGGTTTTCTTTTCGAATTGAATCGACGATTTTTTTCACTCTCATGGCATTCTAACGCGCACGTTACAATCATTACGGTTGATTTCTTTTCTTTGTCGGTTGAATATGCCAAATGCTGTCTGTCGAATGATCAAGCATAGGTATGAGAACACTAGTCAACAAATCCATTGATTGTCTATGATATTCCGTAATTGATCACAGCAATCTTCAAAAGGATAGAGTTAACAAGAAGACCTTGATCGATCTAAATCGGAATCTGTCGATATACAATCAAACTCTTAACTGAATTAAGCTAAATGACAATTCTTTTTACGTATCATTTTCATTTTGAGCATGACATGAACATCTGCAATGCACGCGGAGTGATGATTTGATGATCGACGTCTTCGACTGATCAACTTCGTCATATTTCAATCGGAACTGTCAGTTGTTCATTAATGCGGATGGTTCTTTTTTTTATGTTGCTAAATGCATTGCGCTTCGAATGAACATTGTTTAAATCAATGACGAGATTATCGACTCGGTTCGAAACGTTTTCATCTTGATGAATGCAGACAAGAAAGACTGAAATCAATGAATTTTTTCTGATCTTCACATTATATCAATAGTAGAAATGAACCAGACAAGACTTTAGCTCTATTTGAACAAATGAAGAGGAAGAAGATTGAAGTCAATGATATCATTTGGGTCTTAGTAATCAATGCATTATC